ATACTCGCAGTCCAGGTGATTGAGAGAGGGTTGTGTCTAGATGGGATACTCGCAGTCCAGGTGATTAAGAGAAGGACGCAAGGGCGGAACCAGCCAAAATTTTAGGGGGGGTGGGGAGGGGGGGGCTAATTGAGTTTCTTCCGTCAACACAACGAAAAACAATTAAAAAAGCATCTAATTCTTCAGTTTTGTTTTGTTTTCTTCCTGCTGAAGGGGGCTTCAGTCCCCCTCCACCCCTCCCCCCCCCTCGATCCGCCCTTGGGACGTACCGCAATTTCAAGGCACGATAGTACAGAGATTAGTCATACGAAATCAACTCTAACTTGCGACTTCCTCAAGCTCTGGCTCAATACTTTTTTCCTTACCCGTTGATCGGTGTGTTTCATTGACGTCATTAACTGAGGCGAGGCTGATTGGGGTATCATCATCACCGCACCGTGACCGGGCCGGGTGCTTTTTTTTTCGTTTTTAGGATGAAAGATATAAGAGCTTTAGCTTACCTAATTTGAAATGACTCTTTTGTAATCTTTCCTTTGCTTTCGTTAGAGTTTTAATGACCTCTTCTTGGGTGTCCACCTAAAATTTAGTCACAGAACACCTTGATTATACAAATTGCAGACAAGAATGATGTCTGGACCATAAACAGCCAGTCCACGTACAACATCAAACTGACCGTCTCTTCTTCCCCTTCCTCAAAACTTGTACAAGAAAACTCCATTCATATCAAAAACACGAACAGTTTTGGTCATAAGATACGAAGTACTTCCCGTTACCATAGGCGATGTACCGAGGCTGTTCATTATTTAGATCTTATTAACCGAGCGGGAGGTCTGTACGGGATAATCTTGACCGAGGTCGGAATGTACAGATTGAGCGCAGCGAGGTCTGTACCCGACCGAGGTCAAGATTATCCCGTACAGACCGACCAAGCTCGGTTGATACGAGTTTTATTATATGACCACTTTTCATTGAAAAGGACAAAATGTTTTCGCCGTAAGATTAATATGCGATCGGATCGGTTAATACCGGAGAATCTAGACCAGTCCGCGATGCGATCTATCCAATCAGATTGCTCGATTTGCTAGTGTCCAGGCTCTAAGATTCACGGTCATATAATAATATCAGGAATATCAAAGTCATGAACTAAATCTCCTTGTTTACTGAACACCTTGATGCTTGGTTTGACGACTAATTATAAAAGATGCCAAAAGCTGTATTTATGATAGACATATTTTTGTCAAAAGGCATACAAAAGGGCTCCCTCTTCGCAAAGGTACGTATATAAAAGGGGTACCCTATGCCAGAAATTTGGTACTAAAAAGGGTAGGGGGGTCGAGAGTCCATGCGGAGCGCCCCTGTACAAAATGCCTTCGAAGTACCCCCCTCCCCCGCCCTCCACCCGAGAGGTGGATTGTAAGAGGTGAACCAACAGATCCAATTAGGTTGTAGTTAAGAAAATAGTGTAAATCGAGAAAGCAGAATAATGAACCTACCAATGCTTTGAGTGTCCTTATTTCGTGTTTCATTCTAACCATACAGCTCAGCTGTGCCTGATAAGCCTCAAGACTCTTGTTCTGCCTGCGTAAGAAAGGATGTATGTCACAGACAGATTGGTTTACTTTGCCCGAGTTGTTTCCCCATCCCAGGTGCTGACCTAGGGGAGCTTTTCTTTTAAGTCTCCGTGAACCTTGCTCGATGCCTAGTTTCTCCATGTTGGATTAACGAATATTATTAATCATGGTTGCGCGTGGCAGTTTAAAGGTACAGTACGGACACAAGATGCGACATTGCGAAAAAGGCTGTTATTTTTTGGGTGTCATACAGTGGATGTTGCATAATACGTCGTAGTAGTAGTAATTCTTTTACTTCTGTGACGTCGCATGCAACGTTGTTCAACGTTGTTGCATGTGCAGGGCACCATATCGCACCGTGTGCCACACTTTTACATTCATACGAAACCCTCTTACTCCCTTAACTAAATTGGTTTATGCACCGATGGAAAGCACGTGTGGCGTGCGCCGCGTCTCGCCAATCGAGATTGAGCAATCACTCTACTCTGCATCCAACGAATATTAAATTTAAATCATTTCAATGCTGTTTCACTTCCTGGTGTGGCAGTAAAGACCAAGGAAGTCACTTGACTGATTCATTAAACACAAACTCGTACCATAGACTGATTTCTTCTTCCATTGCAAGGATTTCATGGTCACTTCGGTGGACACCGGAAATATCCGACCCTTTCAGACAAAAAAAAACAATGCCGATCACTTGTGGATGGATGCATGGAGGGATGGAGGGAGGGAGGGAGGGAGGGATGGATGGATGGATGCATGGATGAATGGGATGGATGGATGTATGAATGGGATGGATGGATGTATGAATGAGATGGATGGATGTATGAATGGGATGGAATGGATGAATGGGATGGAATGGATGAATGGGATGGATGAATAGGATGGATGGATGGATGGATGAATAGGATGGATGGATGGAT